ATACCCGAGGGCTGGGTATGTCCCTAAGATGCCCACTTTTTCACCTGGCCCCATATTACTTCAGGCATTCTGTCCTCCTCCGTTCCAGAAAGTAGGCCGAGAAAGGCTTAATCTGCTCTGTCCAGTTCGAGCACTGGACGCTTACGCACACAGACGATTTGCCTCCGATGTCGGGCATTTGTCGGCGATTTCGCAAAACCTGTCGACGAGTGAAAAATCGGGCTAATATCGTGCAGTGTGAACTCGGCATTAAATGTTTTCTCTCCAGAGTGATGGTAAGTGAGTCCTGATGACTGTATGAAGCTCTTCCCACACTGATGGCACGTGGTCTGCTTCTTTCCAGTGTGAATTCTTTCATGTGTCACAAGGTGGCCTTTTCCTTTGAAACTCAGTCCACATTGAGAGCAGGTGAACGGTCTTTCTGTAGAGTGAGTTTTCTGATGCTTTCGCATATTCAGGTGTAATTTAGGTCTTTCCGTAAAATATAGCAATGCAAAAATAAAGACATATGTTTTTCATTACTTAAAGAGGCTCTGGGACCCAAACAGAACATAATGGTTAATATAAAGTGTGGAATTAAGAGAGTGACTGTCTCATCACTGCTTTCTGATGCTGGCTTCAGAAATGCCATTAAGAGGAATGTGTCAACAATTATTAGTAATTAACTGTGTTCATAGGCAGGAAGAGAAAGGTAAGAAAGCATTATCTTTCACGCCCTCTGCTGGTAGACACATTTACAATAACATCTGTAGTCAGGCCTTTTCTTGAGGTTACTAATCAGACATGTCCACAAGTCTTTCATCTGAAGTCCGAGGCAAGTCTGAACTCTGTAAGCTGGAGTCCGAAGTCAAGTCTGAAGTCTTTAAGCATGGAATCAGAGTCAAGTCTGGAGTCTTTCATCACGAGTCCGAGTCGAGTCTGGAGTTATTTCATTAATATTTGCAAATAAAATTTCATCCTTAAAAAATCATTTTTACAAGGTTGTATTTTAAAGACAAAATATGTTCCAGGGACACTACTAAGATTCTAGCTCAACTTGTCTTCCTCTGCCTGTATACATAGAGTCAATCCAAGACACAAAAATACAAACACATGTAAAATTAATTTGAGGAGGCCTGTTTGTATTCAAAATCATCTGTAACACCATGATGTAGCAACTAGATCCTAATTTATCCAATTAATCACAAATTAATCATACATCAATTTTAGCTTAGAATATACACCCCAAAAGATTATTTAAAAACATTGTGTTAGGTGAGTAAAGCATTGAATAGACATTACAAAAAGTAGCTTTAGAAATAAATATTTTGATCCAACATAACATAAATAATGATAATAGATGGACATTAATGGTTTTAAAAAAATTAATATTGAAATATGACATTGGCCAGTTGCATAAACTGCTTAGACTAGTCTTAAAAGTTACCTATTTTTTTTTCTGCAAGACTGGTCATAACTTTTTAAAGTCAGTTAGCCTACATAAAAACTTAGATTGTTATAATTTGAATCTGAAAAGTAAGACTGATAACCACTTGGTTAACTGCTAGTTAGTCAAACTTAAGACATAGTCTTAACGTGGTGAGTATGTTTATGCAACTGGCCCATGAAATTATTATTTTTTTTTAAATGAACTGATACTCAAAATATGAAACTAAAACCTCCAGTGGGTGGCGACAAGTCACCATATTAATGATTGAGTGAGTCATTCAGTCATTCATTCAACCGACTCCTTCAAACGAGTGATTAATTCGGAAATGAAGCAAGTGACTCTTTATGAATTGCTCACTGAATCATTGACTCGATTCGTTCAAAAACGTAACGTAGATTTATTCAGGAACAAAACACCACTGTATTTCTAAGAGACAAACAACAGTTCTGCTGTGGCTTTGGTTTGAACTATTTGCGAAATTGAGCCAAGCAGACAATACAATATAATGTCTAAAATTTCACATATTAAATTATTTTTATTGAACTATTGTATAAAATCAACATCACATTTGTAATCGTGCAGATATTCGGGAAAAACAGCATTCTTGCTGTGTGATATTGCTAAACTATATATATCTTAAATAAACCCATATGCGTTATTTTTTTCCATAATTAATCACAACAATTAAAACGTTAAATAGACAGTAAGTAGACATAATTACTTTTATTGTTGCATATGAATAATTGTTTAGAGATTATCAATGTTTATTTGAAGTGTCAGTTTTTATTTGAAGGGTAGTTTTTAACTCCTTAAAACAAAATAATGATGACAAAATAATATAAAAATAGATAAATTTCACAGGAAAATGGATAAAATCAGGGCAATTACATTGAAAGAGAATGACCAAATATGGCTAAAATATGCAGGCAGACACTATGTCAAAACGGCAATCAAGAAATTAACCGATATTCTCGAAAAAACACGTGCATCATTTTCAATGTCAACAGTCAGAATAAGCCACTTTAAATTCAAAAATTGCCCAATATAAGTGATCGGAATAAGCAACGTAATTAGCAGGTATTTCACACTCCTTCATGCACACACCATGACAGTCAAAATTGTCATTCATTGATACATATTGAATGATAAAAAATAGACAGCAACAGTAATGCGCTTACCTTCGTGTCGCACTTTAACTTCAGACAGAACTAGAGGAAGTCTTCCGGGAAGCAGAACAGAACTTGGCACAGTGCCATATTTAGTTTCAATTTTGATTAAATTATTCAACTGTGCTCTGATTTCAGAGTTACAATGATATTAGAGCCTTCATGTCATCTCCCTCCACAGGTGTAATTCACGTTGTGAGAGTTGAGTCACTCTCCCACTCTTTAGTGTAACTTATATTCAGGCCACTCTGGCATTGTGATCACTTGAATATACAGCTATGCATTCAAAATCTGATCCCTTATCGCGCTAAAAACCCGTCACTCATGAATCATCACGTCTGACTGCTGATCCCTAGTGACTGGCTAAAAGTGCGGCAGGCCACATCAACATCAGCCGCATCTGCCGTGTGTGTTTCAAATACTATGATAAGAGTCCCATCTACATCAACAAGTATATACGTGAGGCAGATATTGTAAAAGCATATAAGTACATTCCAAGTTCTTTCTTCATGACATGAGTAAAGGATAAAAGACTCGAGTTGTTTTAAAAATATTCTTGAGTCCAAGAAAACATGTTAAAAAGTTATACTGATAGGAAATGAATTGACAAATTTCTTATTTATGACTTGTTGATTAAAATGAGTGTTTTAGTTTTGTGACTTCTTGTAGTGTATTGAGTGTTACAGCTACATTGTAATCAATATCTAGTGAATCTAAAACAATTCCAACTCGCTAATGGTGCTTTTCGGCACTGATTTTCATGGGCCCTTGTTTATAAAATTGAGTCTTAAATGATAAAGTGAGTTCAGGTCCTCTAATAAATCATTGTGGAAATCTGTAATTTAAAAGAACAGACCCGCATAAAGATAAAAACAAGATCTCTGTGTGTCTCTGTGTCTTGAGTCTCTGTTGATTGTGTGACTGTGTGTCTCTGTAGCGGCTCCTTATTCACCATCAGCTGATCCTGAGGAAACTGGACTGACATCTAAATACTGAGAGTCCTACAATAAAACACACAGACAGTCACATATGAGTATGAGACATTACTGCCGTCACATCACAGCAGATCAATTTCAGAAAAAACAGTCAGAGATATTAGCATATTCATATTACAGATATGAATGAAAAACCGCTTATAGATTAATAATTACATGATCAACAACTTTCTCTTTATCGCTTACACATGGAAACACTGTAAGAGATCTATATTCATAGATCAGTCACTAAATTAAACTCTCATTAAACAGTTTAGACGGACAGAGACTAAAGTGGAGCTGAATTATCTTATTTTTTAGCTTTTTCCAATTACACCCATATGAGGCCTGTTACTAAACTTGGGCCAAATTAAAAGCTTTAAATAAAAAAATATACTCACAGATTTGCAGTTTCTGTAGTTTGTAATGTGGATCAGCCCTCAGATCAGAGAGCAACTTCCTTCCTGATTGTCCTAGATTATTATTAGACAGATTCAGATTTCTCAGGTGTTCAGGGTTTGATCTCAGAGCAGAAGTCAGAGCAGCACAACCTTCACCTGTGACCCCAAAACCCCTCAACCTGTAGAGAACAATGACACTCTCCTCACTCTCTGTTCAGATCAGATTGAGAAGTGAATCCATTATTAGAGGAATAGTTCAAACTTAAAACACTAATCAATATGTCTGATGGATCTTATTCTCCAATATGTATGGAGAAGTGATTTTTTTTACATTTGTAAAACAATATTTTCAGTCACTGCAAAAAGGGGAATGTGATGAACAGTAAGAATGAATCCAGCATGTTCTTCTTTTCTCAGTTCTGACTCTGTTGGGCTTGAGTCTGTTTAAAGTCAAGAGACTGAAATGTTGATAAATTGATTAGATCAGGTTAATGTTTTTGATTGAAGATTACAAGTGCAAATGAATTTAAAAAAATAGAAATGTGCACGGATAAATCATTTAAAATAAATACTTCAACACTCTGTATAAACATTTGAATTGTCATTTTTGATTTCATGGTGACTTTAAGAAGAAAACGAGTCTTTATCTGATTGAATAAATGACGCTTCTTGGTGAAGATAAAATACGGATAAAATGACGGATAAAATGAAAAACATTTCAAGGATTGTCTTTTTGCGTAGCCTGCAGATTACTGTAATAATCATAATAAGCACACACACTATTTTCGTCATGACCATCTTGACGTTTTTAATGCGCTGTGTTTTTGAAGTTACTTTGAAAGTGCCTGTATATGATCTTACCACAGTTTCTCCAGTTTACACCGAGGATCCTCCAGTACAGCAGAGAGCTGATTTACTACAGAATCACCTATTTTACTGTCAGACAGATCCAGTTGTCTCAGGTGTGAGGGGTTTGATCTCAGAGCTGAAGCCAGAGCTGCACAACCTTCAACTGTGAGACTACAACAATACAACCTGTAGAGAACAATAACACACTCTTCACTCTCTCAGATCAGATCAGTTTAGAAGTGAATCCATTATTAAAGACAAAATATAAACTTAAAACAAAAACGTTTTTGATGAATCATTGGACTGAGGTCAAAGGGGCCATTCACATAGAACACATTTTTGCATTTAAAAACACGAGATGCAGGGCAGTGGAATGGAAAAAGCAATATCTAGGTCTTTTCTAAATGTTAAACTTCTTCTGAGTGCTGTGTTTTTAGAATGGCGTGTCATGTGAACGACACTGCAAAAGAAGTGAGACGCGAACGCAATGGTCAAACATTCATCTAACGCAATGCTTCTCATAATTTTTGGGCCAGCGCCCTCCTATCCATTACCCAGGTCCCTTCCTATGGGGTTAGATTTGTTCCATTATTCCAAATAAATAGATTATGTTCCATAAATAAATGTAAAGGGATTCACAAAAAAATTAATTCACACATAAATAAAAATATTTACAAATATGTTTTATGTCACAAACACAACTCTGCCTGGCATTAATTTGTGAATTTTTTAGTATCTAGTATAGTGTTGTTCCTATAACAGACATGTAAACCGCTGTTTCTCTGGCATTGGCATGTAAAATAAATACTGTGGCTTGGCTTGATACATGGTCTAATGAAATCCAAATTTTAAATTTTACTGTACCAATTTTTTATGGACCTTATACTTCCTAGTGGGAAGTCGTGGCCTAATGGTTAGAGAGTTGGACTCGTAACCCAAAGGTTGCGGGTTCGAGTCTCGTACCGGCAGGGATTGTAGGTGGGGGGGGGGACTGTACAGCGCTCTCTCCCACCTTCAGTACCACGACTGAGGTGCCCTTGAGCAAGGCACCGAACCCCCAACTGCTCCCCGGGCGCCGCAGCAAAAAAATGGTGCTCTGTGTGTGTGTTCACTGCTGTGTGTGTGCACTTTGGATGGGATAAATGCAGAGCACTAATTCCGAGTATGGGTCACCATACTTGGCCACATGCCACGTCACTTTCTTTCTTTCACTTTCTATTTGAACCAATGCAGATGAATGAGCAAAGTTATTTCTGGACGAGACTGCCCTGATTGTAAAGCAAAATGTGGTTTACAATCAAAATAGTGAGAAGTGCTTTAATTGGCCAGCGCTATGTGGCCGTTATCTAATTGGCTTGAGTAGACGGTGGGTGGAATCTACCTATTTGTGGATTTGCTGGAATGTCTTGATGCTGTTTCAAAATCCAAGCGATCCACAAATACGTGCAACTCTAACATTTATTTGTGGATCTCATTCTATTTATTTGTGAATTTGTTTAATTTTTGTGAATCGTACATTTATTTGTGAATCATAATCTATTTATTTGGAATAATGGAACAAATCTAACCCCACACTTACTGACCCCATCACATAAAATATAGGCTAATTATCTGGCCTGAATATTAATGTTGATTATTATTCTGTCTGTATTATTATTATTCCTGTTATTATTACTATTATTATGTCAGTCCATCTCAAATAGTCCAAAAAGTTTTAAGCTGGTTGCTTGATCATTTTTAAAGTTTCCTCTTTTTAAATTTTTTTTTTCTGTATAAGCATAACAAATGACTTTCAAAACAGTTTTATTAGTTTTTGTCTACTGAAAGTTGTTTGGAAAGATGTTTTGTCAGCCGAACCATTGTACAAACCACTGATCCCTATACTGCCTTGTTTTCATCTGTGTCAAAAAATAAATATGTGATAGCATTTTTAATGCATTTATGGTTATCACATTACATTGTTGCAGTTTATACACAAGCCACACCTGCATAAACCATATTTCCATATGTAAATTTAACATGGTAAAAAGCTATAGCAATAACCAGTATATAAATAAAAGAAAAATAATTTTATTTTTTCCAAAGTGTAGACATGGACTCTAGGTTCTGAGCTCAACACTAAGTGTTCAATCATTTCCAGCTCAATCAGCTGAACTCACAGCAGCAGAAAGAGACTGAACACTTCAAATATTACATTGTGTTTCATGTGTGAGAATATATCTTACTGCAGTCTCTCCAGTTTACAGCGAGGATCCCGTAGTACTTCAGACAGCAGAGTCAATGAATTTCCTACTTTATTAGCAGACAGATTCAGATCTTTCAGGTGTTCAGGGTTTGATTTCAGAGTTGAAGCCAGAGCAGTAAAACCTTCAACTGTGAAACGACAACGCCACAACCTGTAGAGAACAATGACACACTCTTCACTCTCTCAGATCAGATCAGTTTAGCAGTGAATCCATTATAAAAGAGAAGTACAAGCTTAAAGAGAAAAATCAATATGTTTGATGGATCATTGGACTGAGGTCAAAAATTTCACAGACCACAAAAACATGATCAAAAACATCTAAAGTCTCATTCAAGCAGGATAAATGGCACTTTATAACGGCATAATTTTCATAATTACACGGTCTGTATTTTATTCAAAAAATGTTTTATTTAATAACACTATTCACTACAAAGCTGAGTTTTATAATGTTATTAATTTATCTGTACTAAAGTGTGTGTGCATGTGTGTGTGTACTGGCTTGACCTACATTACACACTAAATATCATCATAATGTAGTGTGTATTAGGTTTCAGGTCTTTACCCTTACATTTTGAGGGCATCACAGCTGTCCCTAATCCAATAATCCAAATGGCTAAATAAACATTAAATTAAAAAAATTTAAATGTAAAAAATGCAGAAAGTTTTCTGTGAGGGTTTTGTTAAGGGGTAGGGTTATGTTTAGATAGAAAATATCATTAGCTCAGTATGAAAACCATTATGCCTACAGAGAGTCCTCATAATAACTGCACCAACATGTATGTGTGTGTACGTCTGTGTTTACACAATAAAAACATAATTTAAAAACGGTCACTGAAGAAAGATTAACGTGATCAACAGTACCACAGTATCTACACTAGAAGCGAGCGGCGCGATGTGACAAAAGCAAACGGAACCCATTACAATCAGTGATGTTGTCTACACTAGATTCAGAACAACGCAACAAAAAATTCCTGACAGTAAACTGATGCCCTGTTCTATTTATGACATACTTCAAGCACCCACACTACTTTTGATACAAAGGACAAATCTATTTGTAATGGTTGCTTTGTCGTGTTTGGCGTGGAAAGCTGTTGTGGAGCAGTGTCACGAGTGTCCAGTGTAGACACAGTGTAAGAATGAATCCAGCATGTTCTTCATTTCTCAGTTCTGACTGTGTTGAGGTCAAGTCTGTTTATAGTCAAGAAATCCTACCACAGTTTCTCTAGGGAGTGAAGAGTCTTCAGACCAGCAGAGAGCAGCTTCACACCAGTATCTTTTAGGTTGTTATTAGACAGATCCAGATGTCTCAGGTGTTCAGGGTTTGATCTCAGAGCTGAAGCCAGAGCAGCACAACCTTCATCTGTGATGCCACATTCCCACAAGCTGTAGAGTACAATGACACACTATTCACTCTCAGTTCAGATCGATCTAGTTTAGCAGTGTTGGTTTAGCAGTTACTCCATTAAACAAACTCAAAACACAAATCAATATGCTTGATGAATCATTAGGCTGAGGTCTAAAATGTAACAGCACAAAAAAAGATAATAAAAAATATAGTCTCATTCAAGCAGGATAAATAATATTTCTTAACTGCACTGTCTGTATTTTTATGTAAAATGTCTGTCTTGCAAAATGCTAATGTTTTGACTGATGACACTCTTCAGTGCATAGTTGAGTTTTAATTTAGATCTGTACCAATACATATGGAGCTGTAAGAAAGTACAGACTGCCCTGACCCTGATTCCACTCCAAAATCCAAAAATGGCTTAATTAATGGAAGAAAGTCAAGATGTTGTTTCTGCACTATTTGGGGTGGTCAAATCCTGAGCAAATGTTCATGAAGTTAATGAATGGAATGGAATCAATGCTGAACTGACCTCAGCTCAACAATAACACTATTGTTTTTCTGCTTTACAGCAAAGTAGATCTCTGTTGCATCACTGAATCATTATTTTCTTCATTATTCCTGTAAAACTCAATCTGTATTGTATAAAACGCTAGGCCTATAAAAATAAATATGACTTGACTTGATCAATCGTAGAATGGGAACAGCTGTGGGAAACTGAGTGCCATCTCAAAAAACTGGGTTGTCTGGACTTCTTTAATATACAGACCACAGCTGTTACAACAGGACCAACTTCATTTACATTAGGGTGGTAAATTGTAACGATAAAAGGATTGAGTTTTGTTTGTTCTGGGTTCATTACAAATTAGATGAACCCAAGGTGCTACATGTATTTTGCCACTGCTACGCTACAGTAAACTTCCTCATTAAGATCTACAAAATCCTCATCATTTTTCTTACAGAGTAGTAATATGTGTAACACAGATAAAACATTTTAAAAATAGTCAGAAAGATCAAATTGATGAGAGTCAGTTATTCTGGCTTTAAAAGATGAGCACAATGTGATGCTCAGTACATATCAATATTTTGAAATTACTAGTATTAAAATTACAAAATACTACGTATATAAAACAGCATGGTAATGTCAAGTCTGTGTAAAGTCAGTGTGACTCTCAGTCCTGCAGTATTCTGTTACTGAGGAGCAGCTCATGTGTTCAATCATTTACAGCTCAATCAGCTGAAACTGTAAAATTAAAATACCACATTATTACATGAGTTAATAAAGATAATATTTTTTTATTCTGTATCATATCTTCAAGTCTTATCTTTTACAGAAATGTTAGACCTGAGATCAGTCCGTGTTTCTCCACTCTTAAAATGTATTGGATGATCTATACACGCTTCATTCCTCATAGACACACAACTGGGCTCTGATTCTGAACTCTTCTGATGAAGTGAACTATAACAAAGAGAGATTAAAGACAATGCTTTGAATTACTGTATTTAAAAAAAAAGATCACATTTATTTATTCCTAAAATACACTTTAAAGAGTACTTTGACCATTTTTATTTGCACTATTGTTACGGCCCACTCGTTTAAAGCCACAACATTGAACAGGGACCAGTCACCGATATCAACAATACAACAATAACCAATAAATAATATTAAACAGAAGTCTAGGGATAATAAAGGAAAACTAAGAAAATAACAAATATAATAACCACAACAAAAACTTTAAGCTACATGATAAAAGAAATGCATAAAAAGTACAAATGAGAAAGAAGTTACATCCTGATCAAGAGCCACTCCTGAGAGAAACTATCCCACAGAGAGTTCCTACCCCAAAAGAAACTCAGAGCACTTATATACTCTAATTAATTATCAATTAACATGGGGAACGAATCAGAGATTCCCACACTCTGCCCCAACAGGTATATATATATATATATATATATATATATCATGGTGATAGTCCAATCTTACCACAGATTCTTCAGTTTACACTGAGGATCCTTGAGTACAGTAGAGAGAAAATGTACTCCAGAACTTCCTAGATTATTATTAGACAGAGTCAGTTGTCTCAGGTGTGAGGGGTTTGATCTCAAAGCTGAAGCCAGAGCAGCACAACCTTCATCTGTGAGACCACAATTCTTCAACCTGTAGAGAACAATGACATTCCTCATTCTCTGAGATCAGTTAAGCAGTAAATCCATTATTGAAGAGAAAAATACAAACTTAAAGCACAAATCAACTTTTGATGGATCATCGGACTGAGATCTAAAACGCCACAGAGCATCAGGCTCGTTAAAGAAAGATAAATAAGATTATTGCACAATGTCAGTGGTTTAACAAAACATTTGAATAACTGATAAATCTAATTTATTCATATGCAACTGCTCTGACTTCAAAATCTTATGGTGTTATTGATTAGAAAACACATCAAAAGACTGACTACTAAACTCTGGATAGCATCTGCAGCACTGAGGCTATTTGAGTTTTTATTTTCTTTATGTTTTAACAGTGAAGTGATTGTTTTCAGTTATACTTACTGAACTGATCTGGATTCTTTAATCACAGGCAGCAGTTTCTGAAAAACTTCCAGTTTTTTGGTTTCATTGTTTCCTTCAACAAATTTATTAATGTCAAACTCATCCGGCATCTTCTCTGATGCCAACAACACAAAAGCTACAGCTGACCACTGAGATGAAGAGAGTTTGGCTTTATTTATTGATCCAGATCTCAGATACTGTTGTATTTCCTCCACTAGTGAATGATCACCCAGTTCATTCAGACAGTGGAACAGATTGATGGATTTCTCTGGAGAGTTAATTAGGTCTGATAAAGTATACTTAAAAAACATTGAGAGGTCAGAGGACAAACTAGAGAAAATTTGTGAGCAGTTCTTTATAAAAAAGAGGTGCACATATAGCCGCTAGATGTTCCCGAACAGTCAGATGAACAAAGCAGAAGACTTTCCCCTGATACAAGCCGTTTCAGGGAAAAATACCTGAAGAAGATTTGAAAGACTGAGTGTTTTGTTCTTCATCAGATTGAGCTCTCTGAAAGGAAGAGGAAATATGAGCTGGACGTCCCGATTCTCTTTCCCTTCAGCCCAGTCCAGGAAAAAATCTATAAACATTAGTTAAAATCTATAAAGATGTACAACAAGAATTTCTCATATCTGATAATATAAAACTACATACTAAAATCACATCTTTAATGTGGAAATTGGTATACCTGAGATCAGTCTGTGTATATGCACTCTTAAAATTTACAGGATGACCTATAGACTCGTCACTCCTCATAGACACACAGCTGGGCTCTGGTTCTGAACTCTTCTGATGAACTGAACTATAACAGGACAGATTTCATCCTTTATAATCATAATTTTATCACAAGGTCTGAAAATGCATTTATCATCAAAAAGGTGGTCTAATGTTTTTTTAATAAAACCTTAATTTCTAAGTTATTTTTTAACCTTTAACATTTTTAAACATGTTTTAATAGTGTTTATTGAAAGTACCTGCATCCTGGAGAAACATCTTCATCTCTGGATGTTTGTGCGTCATCCATGATGAAACAGATTCTGATCGTCACCACTGACTCTGGATGGAAATGACAAAAACACACTCTTTCATCTGAACGGATCCTGAGAGTCGGAGAAACAGGATCATGAGACGCGGCATTCACTCAAATACATTAAATCGTATATTACCAGTGTTGGGGAGTAACTAGTTACAAGTAACGGCATTACGTAATTTAATTACACAATAAATGTAACTGTAATCAGTTACAGTTACTGAGAAAACGTGTAATTAAATTACAGATACTTCTGAAAATGTTATTGATTACAAAGGGTGTTACATCTGAATTTTTCCACACCCACATACAGATTTAATTGATTTCTTTCATAAGTTGCATTGACTGCTCTAAAATATGAGACACCAATGTTTCAGGAGTTTAGGATACAGAATAGGACACATGCTTATTCAATAACTGTTGTATTTCCTATTTGGGTTTATGTATATGCTTTCTTTTTTAAGATGAACTGTTTTTTCCAAGGCATTGTTAGATGCCAGTGTTTCCTGTCATAGCTATGCAAATATTTGATTTCAAAAACGGTATCATAGCTATTAAACTATTTTCTTGTTATGATTTTAAATCTGTATTTAACCTCAGAACGATCTCAAAGTAAAATGAGGTGCTAAAGTCTGATTTTGTGGTGGCTGTGCTTTAAAATTAAATTATTATAATCTTAATTCAAGTGATGAGGGATTTTGAAAGTCTGACGGTAATCAGTGTTGAGCATTACTGTAAGTTTAACCTTGCCTTCTTTAAATGTTTGAAAATGATTAACAGTTGAAAACAGTTGTTAGAAATTTAGAAAAGTAATCAATAAGTAATCAAATGTAATCAGTTACATTACTTTAATAAGTAAACTACTTATTACATTTTAAATAGGGTAACTTGTAATCTGTAATTTATTACATTTCCAAAGTAACCTTCCCAAGACTGATTAACCCTTGTGCGACCTTATGGACATTTTTGTCATTTTCAGTTTTGTTTTTTGATAATTTTGCCTGTGTTAATGCCAACTGCATAAATTTTGGCACAGGCGTGTATTTTTATTGGAATTTAAATATTTCACCCTCATTTCCTTTAACAAATCTATTTTACACTAGGTACAAAAAATAGTTCCTCTCAGGACCTCAAGGACAAAAATGTCCTCATTGAAACCCATTAAAATATAGACTCGGGAGTGTAACCAGTGCTGGAGTGGTCTCATATGAAGCAATCTGAGTGGCGTGACTGTGGCTGCGGAGAGCTGAGATCAAGTCTAAACACTCCTGAACATTTAGTAGCGACATGTATTTTTAATTTTGTCATTATTAGAGTTTTGACACACTTTAAAGGGATAGTTTCCCAAAAATAAAAAATCTGATATCATTTAGTTACTCGCCCTCAAGTTGTTCCTTTCTTCTGCTGAACACAAAAGAAGACATTTTGAAGGATTTGGGTAACCACTGAATTATATAGTATGGGAAAAAACACTATAGAAGTCAATGGGGACCAGAGAGTGTGAATTAAATTAATGTCTGTGGAAATACACTTTTGCCACACCAGTTTTCAAGATTCACCTGTTACTTTGATTATATATATATATATATATATATATATATATATAACTGGGTTTAATAGAATTCACCAAAATTCACACTATGAAAATAATATAACACCGTAACTACTGTAAATAGCAAACAGATCAAAACTACTAAATTATAACAAAATTATGACTTTACAAAACCCTTTACAAAAATGTATATATATATATATATAAACCTTTGATAAATGTAGGGTGAACCCATCATGTCTGCTCAAAATGATTAAATTGTCAAGGTGGTGACCTTCCAAAATGATCAGAGATTTATTTTTTAGTTTGGGCGCCAGATTAAATTCAATTAAATAAACTCCTGTTAGCTCAAAAACCACCAGTTACGAATGAAGAACCAGAAAGAGTGTGTAACGTTTCTCAAGTTCCTTTGCAAATTTAATTTACCAATAGCAAACCCAACAAAGCAGTCCCAACTTTACATGTCAGTCTTCAATATTCAAACAAGAGCAAATACACAAAAAAAACATTCAAAGAATAAACTAAAGAATCTCAAAACGAGACAAAAATAAGGAAGCTGTAATGGCCTGTCCCTGTAGTCGTGCATGCTTCCATTTACAAATAGTCTCTTGAGCACATATCGTTGTCAGTACAATTACATGATCAGCTCAGTCAGTTTGAAATACAATTAAACAAAACAAAACGAACAAAATCAAAGATAAGTTTGTGAGTATGAGTGCGTTGAGCTTGTAGGCCTACCCTGTGCCGCTGGTCTTCGCTTGCAGTATTTTGGAGTTCTTGTTGCACAGTAGCACGCAGTTTCTCACAGCATTCTCCAGCTGCACACACCAGTGTTGCCAAACCCCTCCCTCAGAAAATCTCTAGAACCACCCTCAAAAGTCTCAATTTTTCACAAAAAGTCGCCAAATATGAAAACAAAGTAAATACAGGTAAATTTGGTAAAGGTAAAGGAAAGTAAATATATATATATATATACTTTACAAATGATGACAGTATAAAAAATATAACAAAAGATTAAATATAACAAAAAATTCTGAAGTGAAATTAGGAAATGCTTGTGATCTGCAAGCACATCAAACATGATGGAAATGATGGAAAGACACAAAAGACACATAATGTTGGGAATTTGTTTTATGTGTCACCAAAGTGCATCCCTGTACGTCCTGCTCAAATACAACAGATAAGAGATATTATGATTCTCCAAAAACAAAAACTTTATTCATACAAACTTATTTCAGTCAACACACTCTATTACTACAAAGTAAGTGCAAAATACTGCATCCCAGCACACATGACACGATGATGTCTCTCTCTCAGTATCTGGTTGACATGACTGTGCAT